TGTATGATGTTGCTGATATTTTTTTCTAACGGCTACGAAGCGGAACAAATTTCAGACAACTGCAAGGTGCTACATGAATCTGAACATAAAATTATATAGTAATAATCCAAATTGAGCTGCCTTCTTAAATATTTTGGCGTTTCAAAATCATTTTAGATTTTTTTAAATTTGTCGAACCTCTTAACGGAATCCCTTTATGAAGAGCTTTGAGTGTGTCGATTTATTTCCTTTTAATTCCGTTATAATTGCTTATTTTTTGACAGATACGCGTATTTTGTCTACTACTTGCAGACTTCTATCACTTCTTCAGACTATATTGACCATGCAAATGATAAGTTCACGAAGAAGGCTAGCCTTTTGACCCACTCTAATATTCATCCGTGGACACAAAGGAATGCAGACCGGTAACAAATGTGGTTATTAAGCAAGATGACATGTGTAAATAGTGAATACAGGAGCATCTGCTTATACGGACGGGTGTAGCCACCGTACAGCCCATATCTTCTTATTATTTTACATTATTATAGAAACTTTCAGCCCTGAGCTGGTTTACCTAATATCGTCAGGGGGAAGGTTTTGAGTCCTTAATTTTGGCCAAAAGATGCTTCAATACATTATGTATCATCATGCAAAAAAAAGCGCTATAATTTAAACCATTTATTACCATATTAACAATATTACGCATATTAACCATATTAACAATACTTTAACTATTTGTTTGTATTACTTCTGTGTGAAGTTAACTATCTACATAGTTGAAGATGCTAAGCGTCAAATAACAAACTTAAAGGGAGACTTATACAATAGATGAGGAGATGAAAGTATAGAGTTGATAGTTCCGTTAGAGTACGGCAGTGTGAAAATTGTGCTTAGGGGAAATGGCTCTAATGTTGGCCTATGGATCTAAGATTGGGTCCATCGCTAAAAATTTGCTTTTTATCAATATTATCTAGATGAACGCGTCATTGGGATGGTACTAATGGATATTTTTGGTCGCTATTGAAAATTTAGTCGATTGGTGAATTTATGTATGTACCCAAATTAGGGCCATTAGGGCCGACCTTACTTCCATTTCCCCTATATAGAGAGTAGAAAGCGATCAAGGACAACTTGGAGTCGAGTTTCGAACACCTTTGGATACGGTTGTGTGTTAAGTTCTTTCTCTGTTTTGTGTGTGCATTCGCTTTCATAGTTTTCGGCTGCATTTGCCGGATTAGCGCTGGCACTCTGCCTCCCGGACGGTTATCCGTGTGTGAGTGGTGGTTTTCTCGCATTCTGAGAAGTTTTAGAATCGAGAAAAAAAACATGATTCATCATGTTTGCAAACTTGCAAGCATCAGAAAATTTGGCGCTGCGTGGTTTGATTGTTTCTCCCGGAACATAAATTTGTGGCATCGCGAGTGAAAATTTTAATTTCTGTTTATTTGCGCGGTGATGAGAACGGCGCTGATCTATTGTTAGGGTTTTGCGATGTGCATTCTTTTGTGCACGGAGTGACTTGAAAAATAAAAGTGAAGAGAAGTGATATTTGGTTGTTGTGTGCGTGGAATAGGGAATGCGCTCCCGGGTGAAGTGATTTGGTGAGTACGTTCCAGTTGAAGATTGTTGACAAGTGTATTTGTGGTGATGCAAATTATGGTTTAGATGACGCATGGCTTCAAACATTTTGTGTATCCAAATAAAACATATTACATACTAAATACGCACAGGGCATCGTCTGCTGACCATTGCCGCGGGTATATCGTGGGAGTCCCAGGTACCCGGTTCAAGCTTTAGTTGGCGGCGGTGGCTCTTCTTGACCTTCTACCCCCTGAGTAGTTAGTGTGAATAAGGGCGTCTATGTGATGTTTTGCTGTACCTGTTGTGAACATCTAGTGCATCCTGTTCCCTTAACTTGTTGAGGACACCCTGTCTTGCCTCAAAAGTTACCCTTTTTGAAGTACTAGTCTTCACAACATAAAGGGCACCATTACGGAGCATGAGATTTGATCAAATTATTCGCAGTTCTACTTGTCCAACGCCCCCGGCTGGGTGAGGGATAGAGGATGACACACACACACACAGAAAGCGATCAAGGACAACTTTGAGGAAAGTATGAACAATATTAATCATCCTTTTTTTCCTTGATTTGTTTTTCGTCGATACAATGCTACCGACGCCAGGGAGGCAGCTACCGGGGACTACCGGGGAACAAAGGCTTTATCAGAGATGTTATATCTCAGAACATCCCGGCGGTGCTGATTGGCATTTAACTCAGGCTTGCTGGGGTGAGAGGTAATCACGCTTACCACTACACCACCGGCACCGCTGTTAATCATTCTTGAAATTCTTATTTGTTTTTTTTTTGAAATAATTTTCCTCTTATTTATCAGAGTTTCGGTGAAACTTTCCTCAGAATCCAATTCCCTTTGAATTTTCCTCGAAATTTTCTTGAGCCTGTAAACTTAGAATTTCAACCAGCAAATCCTCAGAATTAAATTTAAATGCTCACCAGAATCACCTCTGAATTCCCTTGGAGTTATCCTCAAAATCGTCTTTTAACTCAGCTGGAGAAGCTGAGAATTCCGAGAAATTTTCAAGTATAGGCATGAGCATAAGCATGAGCGTGATTGACCGCCCACGTTTGTTACTCTGTTATTGTCAGATCAGCTGTAGTTACACAGAGAACCAATGGACGATGCTTGGGACTAGCAATCATCCTCAATGTGTAAAAACTGGTGATATCAAACTAGGCAATACCAGCCCCGGCCGCGCCCGAACGCAGTTCAAGAAAGGAATGGGTAGGGATGTGTTGACGTGACTGCACTGGGATATTGGGTAGAGGGTTGGGTTTGCTTGCAGCAGGATTTGTTTTGGTTAACGATAAACTGAATTGATATCCTAACGATCCTATAACGCGAAGGAGCTTGGGACTGAAGCCACGGACTTCTTCTCAGTAAGCAAAAACGTTTGCCACTAGGCAAACGAGCTCCTTTCATTACAACACACCAATGATCGATTTGATGTTATTCAAATGTATTCACATTTACAAATAAAGCGATTAACGAATCTTTAATGTGGAGGGGCTTGATATCGATCTCATGATGTTCTACTCAGTAAACAAAAATGGTCGCTTTAAGGCCACCAAGCCACTCATCACATAATTCAAAACCGGCCCCGAAGGTGACGATGATGACGATGTTTAGTTGCACAAAATACACGATAATTAAGCGATGTTACTATAAGTATCCTTAATATTATAGGACCTGGCATTTATTCAAACTTAGAGATGAACTAGCCTAAGGCTAAAAATCTCTTAAATAAAGAAAAAAAAAAAAAAAATCTATTCAAACTCGACAGCGGTGCCATTTACACAAGAATAAGCCTCTACGACCGATGATCTTTTAAACCTGGTGACAAAAAAGCTACGAAAAAGCGCATATGCCTTCATTAAATTATACTTTTACGTGACGTTCATTGTTCCATTTGGTCCTTACGTAAGACGGGAACAGAAGCCTTAAAACTTTCACATTTTTGGGTTACCGTGCCCTTTACTTCACAAAGTAAACTACGACTGACGTGATGATTTTACCAGCGTACAAATATTGCATATCTTTTAAACTATCCCGACCGAACTCTATTACGTTTTAAAACGACTGTTTGCTCCTTCATATTTCACCGGACCACCCCGATTATGCGTCAAACTACCGCATCAAAACTACCAAACCACACAAACAAACACGACCCGCCGTGACTACCGTCAGTCTTCCACTACGGCCCTCATGATCGTGATCGTGCCAAGCTTGTGAATCATGCTTCATCATGAAAAAAAAAAATCATAATGCATTATTCGTAGGTACCTAACCGTAAAAACCGAGGAACATGTCTCACGCGATCGAGGTCATCCCTCTGGCAAATGGGAAACGATCAAATAAATCTCGATTACTCCCTCGAAGGGACGCATGCGGTCCCGCAAACAATGCATCCACGCATGCCAACACCACCATCAGATAGGAGAAATTTTCCCCTACCTTCGCACGTGCGAGGGAAAACCAGTCACACCAAACCAACCATCAAACGCACTCATGCTGAGAAATTTTCAAGAACCCTGAAAAAATATCCCGAATCACTAATGAGCAAACAACTCCTAAAGGTGCACTGTCAGTCATTGTTTTCATTTGGGAGCTTTTATTTGGCCTTTAGGACACCTAAAATGATGTGATTTTTTTTTGTTAACTAATAATAGTAATAAACAGTGAAGTTCCCTTTGTTCCCTGCCACGCTAATGTTTCAAATTCTCGTCTGAATTTCTATAGAATGCCTCTAGAAATGTGATGAAATTCTGCTAAAAATTATTGTGAAAATTTTCACAGAATTGTCCTCCAAAAATTCTTTTGGAACAATCATCAGAAAAACCTAGCAACTTTCTTCGAAGTTTTCATGGATCTTCTCAGAATTATCTCAGCATTCTGCTGGAGTTCTCTTGATAATTTTCTATGGATTTCCTCAGATTTACTTGCGTAGTACCAGAATCTTGAAAATTTATTAAAAATTCCATTGGATTATTCCCCTAAGTCATTCTTTTCAGCATTCCTTGCGAACTATCCTCAGAATTTGATTTCCTTGGATTTCTTCATGAAATTAGCTTAAAATTATCCTCAGAACTCCTTTGGAATTACCCTCAGAATTCCATTTGAATTATCTTCAGAATTCCAGTGGAATATGCCTTTGAATTCATTTTAAATTCTCTTCACCATGTAACTCTCATCAGAATTACCCTGGAAATTTTCTTAGAATTAACCTGCAATTTTCCTCACACAATCTTCAGCATTATTCTCTGACATAGTTCCAGAATCTTGTAAATTTCTCCAATTTTTACCTAAGTTCAAGATCTCAGGATCTGTACGATTATATTAATTTTTATTTGTTATGTGTTAACACATTGTTATGTGTTATTTTTTTAAATTTAGGATTCAAAAATTTATTCAAAAGCAATGCGAATAGAAAGAATGTAAACTTACCATGGTCAATATCCTGTTGCACGCTCGGGTGGCATATTGGGCAGATCTCGTTTCGAAACATGCATGAGTAGCACCGCTCGTGACCGCAGGTGTCTATCAGCTTCCTCTTTTTGCCCTTATCGAAGGGCATCTGACAGCTCGGACATAGTGCGCCACCGGTTTCGTTTTCCAAAATCTTACGAATCGCTGCCAAATCTGGGAGGAAACCGAGAGAAGAAAACACAGTCATGAAATGCGCTCGAGATGCAAAAAGTGAAATGGGTTATTTATCATTTATTTTAAGACTTCTTCTTGGCCAGTGTACGTGGCAGGAACATAAAAAAAATACCTGTAATAAGCGTATATTTCTTCTCGAGTGCCAAACTACAGTTATTGTTTTAATGAAGCCTTATCCCCCGATGTGACCCTGCGGCAAAAGTGCATTCGTAATCGTCGTGGTGGTCCGGTCGATTGTTTTTTCATTACCCGCAAATAGTAGGGTTTATGTGGCAGAATAGCCAATATTTTGCCAGGTTTGAAAATGCCTTTTTTGCGGAACACAACAATGATAAGTTTCGGCGTCGGCCAGCCTCGGGAACCGTGCTATAATGCTATGGTTATCCGCCTTCAAGTGGCATTTAAATTGCCTTTGGGAGCGATTTATGAGGTGAGGATGTTTGGTTGACTCGAAAACGATGGGATCCGATTTTCCCAGGTCGGGTTGCATTATAGGTAGGTAAGTGCAATTGTTGAAACTTGATACGGTGTAATAGAGGAACAAGTGAGAGACAGTAACAGTAGCAACGAAACCTTGTGCACAATGCTTAGTTTTTGGTGCACGTTTCTACCGCAGTAATAACTTGAATAGGTTAAAGCGTTGATGAAGTAATCTTCACTTCCTTATGTTACGCCCAAATGGTTGCAATCATGAACGAGCGAGTGGCAAATTAATGATTTCCAAGCACGGTTTTGACAGTGCTCGACATTTACACGTTCTCTAATTAATCAGATTAACCAGATCAGATAGTGGGGCATAGAGAGGTGAAATTCGTCATGCCAATATGTTCGCAACAGGAAACGAATGTCGCTGAAGTGCTTCTGTGCTCTGGCCAGAGTCGAAGTTGTTTATCGGTACTGAAGCCAGTTGAAATCGGCGTACATTAATAATTTGTGTAGGGGAAGACAGTCCGAAACGTACAATTGAGGTTAAATGACCTGGCGCAGATTTTCATCTTTGTTCCGGGAGCTGTTATAGCATAATGAATAAAATTTTTATGAGGTGTATGGATTAATGTGAAGGGTCGCTCAACATTCATTTGTACAGTTCTAATTAAAATCTTGATTTATCGATCTGGCCCAAACATTTGATGATGTTAAAAGTAGGTATGTTAAAATTAGTGTTAAACACATTTCGATGATAGATTATCTACTGAAAATAATATTGAAAGTGGCCAAAACACATATCTGTCTTGTATGAAACTAAATACAAGTCAAGCTGAACATTTCATTAGGTCCTAAGTAACATTGATCTATTCTCTTCTTCGACTTTCTCTTTCGTTAATAACTTCAGTACATAACCGTTTATTGTTGCGTTTGTCGTATTAGATACTAGATAAAAGCTTCTTTTATCGATCAGTGTGCTGAAAATACCTGTGGATGTTTTTGTTCTTGCCATGGGGGGGAAAAGAGAAAGTCGACGAAGAGAATCTGTCAATGTTACTTTGGACCTAATGCAATTTTCAACTTGAAGAGTGAAAGGGATATTTGAGAGAAACAAAACCCGAAAAAGGAGAAAAACAAAATGATGGTATATTTTGTGTGAAAATCACAACAAAGTGTTACAGGAACATGGGTTGATTATATATAAAATCAAAACATTTGAAAAAAGTTGCAATTTTTAATAAAAATTCGAATATTGCACAAAATAAAAATTGTAGTTAACATTTTTGAATTGCTTCCGAATTCTGATGAATGTGAGCGTCTTAGTAGAATACCTGTATAATAAGAGAGAGAAGGATTAGTAATTTCCATTTAATTCCACTACCTTATTTGCTTATCCTTGCCAGATACGCGTATTTCTTCTACAATGTGCAGACTTCTTCAGTGTCTTGTACTAATACTCGACTGTTACACTAGAGTATTAGTACAAGACACTGAAGAAGTCTGCACATTGTAGACGAAATACGCGTATATGTCAAGGATAAGCAAATAAGGTAGTGGAATTAAATGGAAGTTACTAATCATTCTCTCTCTCATTATGCTTCCGAATAAAATGTATCAACGTTTGGTGACACGTGGCCTTATTCAAAACTAATAGGAGTAAAAAAGAGGTTGTAAAAAACTTTCCGGATGTTGTTGAAAATTAATGTCGAATAATGAACGTCAAGTCGAATGTTGCGAACTAATTTACATTCATGGATGTAATATTGTATCTGATTTTTGCAATTACATCAATATTTAATACATCAGCTTGAATTGCGTTCTTCGATATTGCAATTTTTGTTTGCTGTGTATAGCCAATTTTGTTTGGCATGAACTTTTGTTTGTCCCGAATTTTCCGGATACAGACTTTACATTAGTAGCCTTTTTCTTATAGTAAGTTTTTTAATTTGATGACGAAAATTTGTGATTTTTGTCATAGTTTATTTTTTTATGAAAATGATGAGTCGTTTTCGCCATGATTTATTGAAAAATATCAAAAAATTTTGGCGTGAAACAAAATGGCCGAATTGCGGCACAAACTTGGTTGGCCCCTAGTGAACAATTATGCAAAGTTGTATGGAATTCAAAGAGGGAAAAAGAAAGTCGATTCGTCAGATGGCCTGAACCTACCTAAGTTACTTATCAACTTAACTTACCCGATCTTAACATTTGCAGCATTACCTATATACAGTGTTCTTAATTTATACTGAATAGCTATCCTCTAATCCAGTGGTACTCATCCAACGGCCCGCGGGTCACATGTGACACGCCGGGTGAGTTTGTGCGGCCCGCGGAATGCTTTCAGTCTGTGCAATGTATGCCCGCAGACTGACCAAACATTTCAAAGATGCTTAATGTGTTTTGTAATTTCATAATAGTAATTATGCCCAGAATTAACTTTGAATTTTCCGGTTTATTGCTTAGGAACACATATTACTATTCCTTAAATATTTTTGAAAAACTCTTGAAATCATTGTAATCATTGTGTAATCATTTCGATCAGCCCTTTTTTAAGGTATCCTTGCAATGTTTCCTGATGTTCTTCGATATTCTCCTTACAAGTCTCTAGGAATCTTCCTCGTGATTCGTAATTCCTGCGAATTAGAGTTCGCCTTAGAACTCCTTTGCAACTCTCAGGTTGAGATTTCCTTGGATTTCTTATCAGAATACCTTTGAAAAATCGAAAGTTATAGGTAGATGTAATTAAAGCCAAAAATAAAGTAGTATCAAAGGCACATTTTCAGTTGTGCCTATGTTGTTCATATAAGCATGCTATTTTTATGACCTTTAGCATGTTGTTTTTTTTTTCATGCAATATGGCCACAGCTCAAAAAAGTTAACCCATTTTTGCAAGACAATGGGGTACACCTCAAATAAAAAGTAGTAGAAATCCTGGGACTCTTTATTTTTTGATCGGATATTTGATAGAATGAATGAAACACACTCGTTTCAGTCCAATGGAAATGAAAAGATTCATAAAATTTAACACTTAATACAGAAAAGCAGAAAGTTTTATTTTACCCACATTTTCAAATGTTGATTGTGAAAATTGACAGATTTTGAGTTGTGCCATAATGAATAATGAACAATATGAAAACAATAACTTTAACTAGAACTATATGTTGTATTTCCAAATGATCCATTCTATTGTAAGTTTAATATGCTACAATGAAACAATCAAATTGATATTTCATTTATTCAATTAAATGGCTTGCTATTTAATAGATTTTTAATAAATATAATAGGAAAAGCTTAACTGAATTTAAATTAACTTAAATAAGTTTTAGTTGGAATCCAGTTGTCTGTCATAGTTCTGCAACCTAGATATTTGTGATGTCAGGTACACTTTGACTTCTAAAGTTGTTTTGCCATGACTAACATTAGTAAGTTTCCGAAAGTTGGGTTTGCATTTTTAATTTCTAACCCATTTATTTTGTTATCATTATATTATTGAATGAAGCAGCAACAATAATCTTAGCGGTGCCAGTGGTGTAGTGGTAAGCTTGATTGCCTCTCACCCCAGGATCCCTGGGTTCAATTCCAGTCGGCGCCACCGGGATGTTCTGAGGCATAACATCTTTGATCACGCCTTCCTTCGTAAAACCGTTGGTCCCCGGTTCATGAGTTGATGGGTCGATGGGTTGGGTCCGGGTGTGGAAGCTGCCTCCCTGGCGTCGGTAGCATTGGTGCTCAGCACGGAAAACAAGATCGACCGAAAACAAATCAAGGAAATAAAAACAATAATCTGGTAGTCCTACGTCAACAATGCAGTCGTGCTTTGGACACAACCTTTAACTTTGTTGAATAAACATAAATGTCATAATTTCTATATTAAACATTCCAAAATGAAAAATAATTTAGGATGTTTTGTTATATCAATCAAATCGAAGACACTCGAAATTGAATTGGTTGACCCTGTGCTTTAAAGCATAAAACATCTGATGGTAATGTGCATGCCTGTTGACAATACCTTGGAAGACATATGAAATCTAAATGCATCACATTTGAGCGTATGGTGTTCAAGAATAACTTTTGGCATAAGACTCACACATGAAATTGTGAAACACGTGATACTAACATGTGCATTTTGTTGAGTGTAGCTCCAAGTTGCGTCCTACCTTCGACACTACACGGTAAGAAAAAAGTACCCAACGGCCAGTTCACTTTTACCTACATTTGACTAGTTTGTCTCCTTTTCTCCTTCTAATGTTGTCAAAAACAGAGAGGCAACAGGGGTAGTAAAGTGTAGGAACCCAACGTTGACTATAATCATATATACCTACTTTTGGGTACAACTAACTTACTTTTGGGTAGAAAGCTATTGGATAATTCCATACGAATTGTACACAAGTAAACGAAAACTACTTTGACCCGCTTTACCTACTTTTGGGCTCCTGCACTATAGTGCCGAGATGAGTGAAAAGAACTTACTTTTGGGTACTTTTTTCATACCGTGTAGGATTAGATGTGTAGTAATTTTGCTCCGACAGTTGTCATGTGATAAGAAGCC